TTATTTTTTATTTCTATATTGTTTTCCAGTTGGAAATGTAGTAGCTCTTCTCCGGTAGAACTAATGATCAAGAACCGTGCACTTTACTGTAATGCAGCAATGTCATTAACCCTGTTCAGACAGGAAGGAAGAGAACGCTGCATGTATAGTTCAACACAGTGAAGTTGTGTGTATTTCGCAAAGCTATGCCTATTTCTAAGCATCTCCTTTAGAATGTGTACTCATTTTGGCCTATATTTTGGGTATCAACTATGTTCCACTATGCTATTTCATTTCCGGTAATGTAGCGACTCAACACTGGCTTTAACCTGGTACTGTTATTTATCACACCACTTACAAGGAAGTAAACTTTTTATTGCTTATGCATGTCTACATTCGCATTTTTTTATTCTTTTCCCTTCTTTGGGGGTTTGTTTCGCTTCATTAACCATTTATGTTTTTGCTCTCAGTTGTGTTTAGCATGTCATAATGCTGGATGTCCACAAATGCATGAAATGATCAAAATATCCATTATGATCCTCCTCGCTGCCCTGTGTCTCCGTGCTTCCCCTGGCGATCAGGGGCCTATGGCTTTTCACAAGGTACTTCATTGACCTTTTGCACTTCTGGCTGAGGTATAGGCCTGAGGCTTTTCAAGTTCATGACCCAAAGGGTATGGTGAGAAAATAAAATAAAGTAGAATGATATTGGGAAAACTGAAAGAAGAAAGCACAGCTCCCTTGCAGAACCTCAGCCTGCCTTTGGACATGGCTTTCTCTTACCTTCTCTCCCCCAATGTGTTCGTCTTAGCCCTGCCTTGCAGCACCAGAAGAAAAGCTTTCATGCAATAAAAAAAATCTGGTGTTGAATACAGTGTCCAGGTTTAAAACGTAAAACCTAGTTCTGTTAACCATGCTAGATTAACAACTGGTTATCAGTACAGAAGCTTAAGAATCTTTAAAAATATTTTTAGTTTCATATCTACTTATGTGTCAATTACATATCTATAATGTATTCTGATTTCATTGCATTACATTTGTCAGATTTAGTATTATACAGATTTCCAACTTTGTCAGAATAAACTTCTTAGATTAATGCTTATTTCTTGACAGAGTAAACATGGTCACCTTTTCCTTTAGTAAAATGCCTGCTGTAATAAGTCATGTTCCATGTCATTAACAGTTAAAATCAGTGTCACCTTAAAACTCAAGGAAAAAAATTGTATTTGCAAAGTTTTTCTCTGTTTATAATACTATCATATATAAAATTTAATTCTCCATATCCACTTTCTTTCATAGGTCTCAAGGGACAGATAGAATTTCTTAAGGGAGGTTTTCTAGTGTGTATGGCTCAGAGCTCAAGAGAATTTATATTAAGTGTATAGTTGAACTCTCAAAATAGCTGTTCTTTTCAATGCTTTTACGGAGTAAGAGTTCTCCTTAAATATAAGTGAAAGCTTATTTTAAACAATAATAGTTACAAAGATTTCCTGGGAAAAATGTAAGGTATAAAGAAATCTTTTAAATTATGATTGTGAGAATGTGTGCCTTTATACTTTGCATAAATTCTTAACCCTGGGACATTATCTCTTCCTCTAGGGTTTGGGTGGGGGAGTTGGCTGTAAAAGGCCAGTAGTGTTTTATCAATTCACCCAATTTGGTAGAATTTATTTATTTTAAATATTGTATTTATTATTTTTATTTTAAGTGTATGAGTGTATTGCCTGCGTGTATGTGAGTGCACCCGTGTCATGCAATGTTGCAGAGGTCAAAAGACGGCTTCAGATTCCCCTGGAACTACAGTTAAGGACAGTTCTTAGCCTCAATGTGGGTACTGGGAATTGAACTCAGGTCCTCTGCAAGAGCAGTCAGTGCTCTTAACTGCTAAGCCATCTTTCCAGCTCCCTATTTGTGAATTT